GAGAGGCTCCAGCAATGGATAGAACGTGATGGACGGCAATTTGAATATTTAAGAAGGCATATTTCTTTAGGACAATTAGTAGTAGGAGTTTTGCAATTATTATGTGTTTAAAATTATGTTTATAATTTATAATTATGGACTTAAAAATAATAGCATGAGGAATGCTCTCAAAAGTGAGGTGAAGTATCTTCTAAACTAAGGTACATAAAATAACTGATCGAAATCCATTGAATTATCAAAAAGAAAAGAAAGTAATACCAATAGATTTAATTTTTCTAAAAAAATTCATAATTTCTATTGTAATATCAGAAAATGCCCTCCAGTGCCTATACACTAACTTACAATCACTACAAGTAAGGTAGGATTTGTAGTCCAAGAAAAGCTCTTTTCAACGATACCAAGTTTATTAAAATCCGTTCAGTCATTTTGAAATTATTGGCATTTGTTTACAAACATTTTCGAACACACCCCACTAGTTTATTTTTAGAGATAGGGCAGAAAGTGTTTTAACAAAAAGAATTATAATTTATACAGGATGATATATTAGCTCACCATCAAACTTTGACATATGATAGCTAATCCAATTACCAAAAAAAAATGTTAATGAACATATGTCCAACTTCAATTATTTACGAAATTATAAAACTATTTTAAAGTTTTAATTTTTATATCATAAATATTGTTGAAAATAGCCTCCTTCTGCTAGAATACATGCTTCACAACGACGAATTAAAGAGTTCTTCAGCCGAATTAAAATGTCTGGTTGGTTTCTTATTTCAGTAGCAGCGATTTGTATTCTATTTAATAACTGTTCTCGTGTGTTAATTTCCACTTGATACACAATTTGTTTCATTTGACCCCATAAGTAGAAATCCAATGGATTAAGGTAGGGGAATCTAGGTGGCCAAGCAAATGGACCATTATTACCAATCCACTTGTTTGGAAAATATTGGTTTAACCACTCGACAACTACTCTTCCGCAATGAGGTGGGGCACCATCGTGCTGGTACCACATATTTTGAATTACATTAAGAGGTATATCTTCAAGTAAATCAAAAAGTGTATTGTTAAAAAAAATCTGTAAATTGCCATTCACAAAATGCTAACCGTTGCTGATTATCTCCTGGCTGTAGAGCTTGAACATTCTGTTTACGATACGAATCGCGCCATGCAAAATTTTGACTTACATGTATGTTGTGTGCTATTTTTCGAGTGCTGATGGAAGGATTATCAATTACAGCTTCTTCGTCCTCTACATTAACTACATGCGGCCGAATAGCTTTTGCTGGAGCAGGATTACCTGTTTCTCGAAATCTTCTGAAAGAATCGCCAAAAACTGAATAATATGGCAAATGACGCTGTGGAAATCTTTCTTGATATTCTCGTACTAATTGTCGAGCATTTCCATTGCATAAACCATACACGAAAATTATATCAGCATACTCTTCAGTGCTATAAGCGTACATTTTGAGTTTCTTCTTGTACGTAATAATTAAACCTTACAGCAAACTGACATATTACAATGACAACTTTGTTTTTGTTGAATGTTTGATTTTACTGACTATTAAATTCGCTGCATAAAACTTTAAAGTGTTATAATTTCGTAAATAATTGAAATAGGACATATGTTCATTAACATTTTTTTTGGTAATTAAATTAGCTATCATATGTCAAAGTTTGATGGTGAGCTAATAAATCACCCTGTATAAGCTTTAAAAGACATATACCCTTTTTTAGCGACCATCTTAGAAACCTGAAAATAATTTCCAGGATTTTCTCTTAGTCACTTTAGTTATTAAATTTTTTACCGCAAGTCTGTATAATTAGTAGTTTCCGAGCTGCAGTACTTTGCACGCTTATTTGGCCACCCTGTACAACGCGCTTTTATTCGTCTCGATTTTAGGCTAAGTTGCCCTAGTTCTGCACCTACAGGGCGCTCAAATCCTCCCTATCATTAGCCCCTTTCTCTTGGTCGACGGCCCTCTGGTATTTAAGTGAGTACCCTGCGCGCCACTCTTTCTGTCGGCATTGTGCATACTATTCCCACCCACCTCAGCCTCTTGGCTTTAATCCATGTTGATAGTTCTTGTCCTTCCTGCAGTTCAATTATCTCGTAGTTCATTAATTGTCTCCATCCTTCCAGGTTTATATCATATTTTAGCCCATATATCCATATATTTTTCTTTCAAATCTATATAACAACAAAATATGGTCGATCAGTATCGTTGTTGATATCGGCAAAAATTATTTCTGATATATCTCACCGTCATTACTGGTGTATCTCAACGTCCTGCATAAGAGACTATGTTTAGTCTGGATTACTCAATACTATCCTGACGTTTCGCATTACCTTCCTCATCATCTATGAATATGATCCTTAATATCGCTAAACATCATCCCTGCTACATATATCTGAACACCATTATTGATGTTTCCTTTCTTTAACAGAGTCTACAACATCCCTTTGCATTATTATAGCTTACTAGTGGACGTATGAACATCTTGTACAGCTTAACTTTACAGCCTCTTATTAAAAATTTGGACCATTGTAGTTTTCCAGGTATCTAGCTCAATCATATTTATCTTCTACTTAGAAAGAAAAAATCTCCAAAAGCTCATAAATTATAGATTTCGGTATTAAACTCAATAATAATTGAAAAACCAAAAGGAATGAAGAAAAATATTTTATATATAACTTGTTTATAATGAACTAAAAAGACATCATTCATTGCCATATAGCTGTGATCATTATCTAAATACAAAGCATAAATTCCCAAAATCCAAATGAATGATTTTTGTTATTAAAGTATCATTAAGATCATAATACAAGAACTAGAACCAAGATTGAAAACATGTTGCGTATACAAATTGATTATAATGAGCCATAAAAACGTAATATGTTAAAGATAATTCATAGAAAGTTCTGAATTTTTATAAGCATTACATGATAATTACTTATTCATGTTACTACACGGTTGCATTTCTTCCAATAATCAATTACTTGTGCTTGACTGCAATTATTCTTTATTTTTCAGGCCCTTGTCATATTTCCCATATTTTGTTGTAATATCGAAATTAATAAAATATATCCAAAATCAGATTCATAAAACAAGTTGCAGAATTAATTCATTTAGCATTTATTGAAATTTAATTTTGTTATTTACTAAGTCTCAAAACAATATAAGTAACCACTGTTTATTTATTAAACGTGTGTGCAAAATATTTAATCGAGATTTAACAGTACGTTAACCGGACAGTTTCAATGTCAAGTTGTGTAACGCAGTATGATAGCATTTTGTTAAGTTAATAGTGCCAATCGAGCATTAGAAAACCGAGTTAGAATGTTGTTCTAACCATATTAGCCATATTAATGTTGTCATACTTAATCATGGTTTAACATGGCGTTAACCGGGCTCCCTCTTTTTCGTTACATAACATAAAGATATTTGTTACTCGTGCTGAATTCGGTAAAAACTAAACCTAGTAATATATTGATAACGTCATACAGGTATTTTAGTGTTATGATTCACCCAGTATGTTATGATTACATTTCTTAATCACCAAATGGATATGTATAACTCAGACAATTACAAAAAAAATTCATTGTTAATGGTGGGAGGTGCGTTTATACAAAACATACGTCTGGTGTCCTTCAAATATGGTGGCAACCCCCCGATGAAAGGACACCGGATCCCCTCGACCCCACCGTCCGTGACCCTGCACGTCACACATGTAATTGCCGCCCTACACATAACCAACATGTGTCGCCTGCATCATGCGATTGTTAACTGGTGTCATCGCTCCGTGTCCCCTTGTATTCTTCTACCTTATTTTGTATTTTTCGACTGGCGCAAATAATTAACCGAAAGTGAACAAAAAAAAAATAATAATAATTTTTTTTTAATTTAAACTTGATGTGACCGCAAAATGCGTCATGGCTGAAAGAAATCGTCGAGATCTCGAGTACTTTAAAGTTTTGTAATTTCTTATGAGAACGTTTCTATTTAATCGAGAGACATTTAATAGAGCCGTATAATCGAACGGTCGGCCGAGAGACGATATTGTCGTTAAATGGTGATTATTATTAAATCGATAATGGCAGTTTAGGTTACACAGCTCGGTAGATGTCGCGGGGAAAGCGGTATTTGCCGGCAACCGGAGGTGTCGCAACGTTGCTTCTGGTCGCGGCAGGAATTAATTCGCTGTAGTGGCAGCACCGAGCTCCTCTCAACAGACAGATAACGTCGCTAATAACTATAATGGCTGACTTAGATACAGGCGAACGTTGCAATTATTTCCGTGCTCTCCAACTCGATTAAATAAATTAATAGAATAAATAACACAATTATAACGATATCTTAGAAAGCACTATGATGAATTAACCAATTCCGTTAACAGTAAAATTCCATAAATTCAATAAAAATTGATTTAGTTAATTAAACCCAATTTTAACAGAATATTTTTTATTTATGCAATCATAATAACATGTCGTCGAATTATTAATTAAACCCAACATCCTGGTAACCCGAAAATTACAACGTCCAAGACGCATTTTAATCTTATCTTTAGACGGCGTTTCCATCGCTTTAGGGGTTTAATATCTCAAAATCACGGGTATAATTATGCCAACTTCTCCGTCTCCTCGTGTATCATCAATGATAAAAATTCTACCACTTGGATTAACGATAAAGAAGCTCACGATTTTTACCGGCTAGAAATTATGTTTCCCAAATAACTCCTTTTGGTTTCCTGCGTTTGTTTCGGAGCGAACCATGACGGTTTTCTGAGGGGTATATCTTTAAGATCGATCTAGAAACTTATTTTCAAGCACGTTTATTCGCTTGGATAAACGAATGTTTTACTAAAATCGGTTATTATTGTTTGCGAACCGACCTACAATTATGTAAATTTTGTGAGTATAGTGGTATTATCGAAAACAGTGGATCGAAAAGATAAAGTTTTATTTAAATTTTTTTAATTTGTACTAATCGATCACTCACCTAATAATTTTGTGACCGCTCCCTGCTGTGTGAGCATATGTTGAGCAAGATCGTAGTGTCTCAACCCGAATCTGGAGAGCTCCAAAAAACGTTGTTGAGATACCAAAGAGGCCAATGGGTGTCCAGGACCTGTCGCTGCATTTCCGTACAATTCCCTTAAAGCCGCAGGTGCCAAAGATGTGGGTCCACTTGTTGCCGATGTCACTGCCGTACTGGTGATTGATGGAGACGATGCCACTAAAAACAGAGAAGATTGTTTTACAAGATTTTAATTTGTACAATTTTTTTTTCCACAGGTGTTTAAATCAGTTTTTAATTTTACTAATTTACAAATTAACGATGAACATATGCGTGTGTAACCAAAAACCGAAAGCCAGATGGAGCTTCCGCTAATGAATTCAAATTTAATTCGCCGGACGTCGGTATCGCTGTAACCACATGTAATCGCCGTTTAAAAAGTCATAATTTACCTGGCGAGGAAATAATCGCGTTACAAAAAGCAGCAGGACGTTGGACTCTCTTGGTGGCTATCTTAATTTTTCGGTTATGTAAATAACCTTTTTAAGTGGTCGTTCGGTTAATTTGGGGAACGACGTTGGCGAATAATGTAATTGAGATGTAAATCGGTAATTAACTCGGACGTGATTGATTATACTGGGAAAGTTCAATGAAATTAAAGCCATCTCGTTAAGATAAAAAAAAAATAAAATCTATTAATTATATTTCAGAAATGTCATTTAAATACTTACTAATCTAACTTTAAAGATCGATTTATATGATCAATTGGGACATTAAGAATTAATCCAATTAAATACTGAAAACTGAAAATCGTTTTAGAGCCGGACGTTTAAATGTTAAGCTGAACAAGGTGCGTAAATATGATTTTAATGCAACCCGGAGACATAAACGAACGAGGCCAATTAATAAAACGCCGCTAATGTTGATAATTGAGTGAATTATTGCGAGAGCATTCGTCATTAACGGCCGCTTAATTACCGACCGCGAAAAAAAATACATAAATCGACTTTATGTCCGTTAATTCGCGTGTAATTGAAAAGCGGCGTAATTACCGTTTTATTACTACTTTTTAACTGGGTCTTGGTGCGTTTGATTTTTCTTTACAAATATTTATAATCAACATACATTCATTATTATGGTACCGATTCGACGACTAAGGACGATTGTGAAGGCAAATCAACAACATTAACATTAATTTCTTACATTAATAGTCATCAAATGTAATTGAAGCAATAAATAATTCATTTATGGCAATATCGATTTTTCAGCTATTTAAATCAATGCGAGATTTAAAGTGTAAAAATTTAAAAAATATTGTTACACAGCAATTATAGGATTTAAAAATCATTTTCAATCAAAACTATTAAAGTATTAAAGGATGTGTTTTTGTAAACAATTAAGTTATTTATAAATTTTAATACCTGAAGGTGATAACGATAAAGCTGTTGGTAAGACGCTGGGCGCTGTGTTTGATGCCGGAAGTCCGACGGGATCCATCTTCCAATTGACAATTGCGGATCGCGAAGGAGTAACCGGCACCGGGCAGCAACCGGCAAGTCCCGGAACGCCGGTAAAATCGTTCCCGCCGCCCAGTGGGTTCCCGGTGGAGATCAGCATCCTGTCTCAAACGTATCGAACGAAAAACGCGTCTCACCCGCACCACAAACCATTTAGATTTTCAATCCTCCATCAACCACTGTTCCCAAAAGAAAAAAAGCTTTTTCTTTAAGTTTTCACACTCGATATAATTCTTGATGTTGCCGTTTTGATGAGGATTCTTTCTTTAGAATCTGGTTGTTCTTGGAATTCTTGATGATGACGATGACTTGGATTAAAGTTTTTTTTTTAACACTAAAGTTAAGATACACTAAAAAATCTGATAAAAAATTGTTTATCGTCCGTGAGAAAAAGGAGCAATGAGCAGCACCTTCTCCGCGACCTCTTCTTCAAGCCTAGCGCCAGGCGAGCACGACACTGAATGACTGCGCAACGCTGCCGCTCTCTAGACCGCTACCTGACAGCTAAAAGCGTCGCTACCTCCGCGCTTTGGTTGGCTACCTGTGCCTACTTAATAGGCAGGCTTACAACTCTGTGGCCACTACCTTGTGCTTACCCTCCCTCGAGCATTTACCATCACTATCTCACTCCTACTTTCAATTTTTACCATTTCTTCTTACTCCAACTAATGCGACTCTTCCTCTAACTCCAACTCTAACTTGGCCCCCGCAGGTGTCGGCGTCGTAGGAAGAGGGCCCCCCTCCGGTTAAAGTGAGGCGGCGAATCGCGGAGGTGTGCCTCGGACTGCCTCCTTCTGGTTCTTATGTATGCACATTAGGTGGAACTGTTGCTACCACGTTCCTTTTTCTAAGTCTTGAGGAGGTGACGTTGGATTCAAGATAATTAAATTTGCTTTCTGGTTAAGTATCAGATTAAAAAATTGATTTTATTTTATTCTGTTTAATTTAAATAATAAAAAATTATTCAAAATCACCCTCAATTTCAATCCCTACAAAACAAAAAATCACCCTCACAAAAAATAATTAGATTCTTGATAAAACGCATTAAACCGAATCGTTAAAATCCATTACGGCCATATTGTCTCCATTAAAGCCTTATACGATTTCCCCATTTCTTTCCAATTACACTGTCGAAGGTTTGAAATCAGATTAAAAACCAACCACCCCCGTGGTTCTCGTCGTCTCCGGTTAACTTTCGTCCTTGTTGTACTTATGACCTTAAAGCATGGTCTGGACGTCGCCGTCCTCGTCTACTCCGCGAGCTTTCGCCTTTCCTGCGGTTGTGGTTTTATTTTTCATTGAATGCCCATTGCGCGTGTACCGATGACGACGTCTCTTTGGACTTTTTGTGTGGCGGAAGCTTCGAAGCTGAGAGTTGGCGACTATTGGCTGCGAAAGCTTTGTGGGGCTCCTCGTGCCCAATGGTGACCCCGTCCAACTTCCAATCAATTCTTGTAGAGGTGGAGCTAGCAGGAGAGACCACTAAACCAGGCACGCCCAACAAAATATTTTCTACTTTACTTATATTATAGTAGTATCTTAATATCAAGAAGAAGAATTAAATAGAAAGATTTTGATTTAAATCAATTTGTTTTTGTATTCATTAATTTTTGCGATATTTTTTTTGATGGATCATAAAAGCTTTTCTTGGTATGATCATAAGCAATATGGCTGCGTAATATTTCATAACGGCGCTACACGCTGCGGTAACATTATTTTAGAATTTGAATAAGTGCCAGATAAGGCGAGTTGAGGGTGGGTGCTCTGCGCCCAGGGCCGGATTTGCATAATAATATAAATCGGGGTTAATGTGGCGTGCGTGCGCCGCGACGCCGACGTCGCCGGCCAAGCAGCAGGAAAACCGTCGACCACCGGCCGATAAGCTCATGCCCTCCGCACGCCGCCGATTTGCATATTTATTTGCCGACTTTTATTCCAACCTGTATCGACCGTCGCGATGTCGACGTAGTCGTGTCAAAGAAAAATTACTCCATATAATTACGTCATATTTATATCCAACTTTAATAATCACCACGACCTTACTTTAAACTATGTAAAAAAATTGTGTCAAAACACGATTTACTTACCTACATTGTATGCGTATACTTATATAATACTTACCTGTATCATAAAAAATAAACTCGTGGAAGAATGATGGATGATTTCCAGCTACAACACATTCCATTAGCTTTGGAATATTACACTATAATTGCACAATTAATTTTTTACGAGAAGAATGAAGGAAATTTAACATTAACATGAAAGTAATTAATACATACATTTTATTTGATTAAATCAGAACTCAGAATCAGGTAAATATCAAAAATTAGAAATAATAATGAACGTATGAAATAACTTTGGTATTGAAGAGTACATAAAGAAATATCAGGTTTGTGAGGTTAAAAGCTCCATATGATTAAGTGATGAGTGATATTGTGGAATATGAAGTAAATTGACTGTTATTCAAAATGGGTTCAATAAAAGTCCGAACGGAAATTTATAATATCTAAAAATCCTCAATGTATTGAAATGGCTGAGAAAAGTAGTGCAGCATTTTAACAGCTTAAAACTAGCTAATAATATTCAAAGCGGATTTCCAAATATAGCGTAAAAAATATGTGAGTAAAGTGATTTTTAGATATTCTTGATCAATCAGAAATCACAGTGTTAAATATACCCGATGTAGCTGCTATTTCTCAAAATTATGTTTTTCAAAATCACCTTTCAGATTTGAACAACTTATTCAGTACTCATGCAAGCAGTTTAAAAACTGGAATAATTCTAATTCGTCAAGTCGTTCCTTTATTTTTCATTTTCATGGCAAGGAAGTCATAAGAAACAACAGAATTGAAGAAAAAATTTTCAATGCGATGCAAAAACTTATATTTCTTAATAATATCATAGTAAGTGGTCAAAAATTACTTCATACTTTACAGATAGCAATGTTGTTTGGTTTTTTTATTTCTGATAAGCTAAACGTTTGCAATCGTGGTCATCAAAACACTATTTTTTGAAGATGAGTGGCTAAGTTGCCGTGTACTGTACCATTTCGGACTGCAAAAATTGTAAAGTGTGCTCAAAATATGAATAAATATGTAGTTAAAAGTTCGTAAGTTGTATATTTACTTGATTCGCAGAAAAAATCCCAAAAAAAGAGATAACCCCTTTAAGCATGTTGATTTTCCAAAATGAAAATTGAATTTCTGTCATATTATGTACTTGAATCACCATCCAAATTTGTTTTAAAATCTTTATTCAAGCTGGCATCTAAATCTCTTTCTGCAAAAATGCTGTACCTAAATTGTTTACCAAATGGAATGTTAAGTCTCATTGTAATCAAAGAGTTGAAATTATCTGAAGATTCAAAATCTCTTTCTAATATAAAACTCTATTCAATCATCGTTAATCTTTCTGCAAACTGATTTTCAAGTTGAAACCTGAATCTTTATGTATTTAGATACTTGAATAATACTTAAAACTGGTTCCAAATCATTTTCCAAAATAAAATGTACATCTTTTTGCAATCAAATATTATATCTTGCTGCAAACTGATGTACTTAAACTGGCGCATAAATATATGCAATAAGTTTTCTTATCAAACTTAATCTTAGATAAATTTAATCTTTCTGAAAATGGATTTTTAAACTGAAACCACAATCTTTACTGTTTTGATGCTTGAGTAATCCTTCTTACTGGTTTTCAAAATGTTAATCTTAAATGACAATCAAATAGAATTTAAATCTTTTTATAAACATATTTTGCAACTGAAACATGAATCTTTATGTATTTAGCTACTTGAGTAACCCTTCAAATTGGTTTCCAATCCTTCTTTAAAATTTTACTTAAACTAATTATAAAAATGAAAGTTGCCAAGTACTAAAAACTGAGGGGACAGCGGAAAAAATAGAAAAGTAGTCAGAAATGTAGTATTTATCAAACCATTTCATTTGGTAGCTATGGTATTAAAATATCCTGACAGGTGCAAAATGTGATTGAAATTTCTTGGTTGGAACAATGTAATCGCAAGTAATATTTTTCGAAGAAATAACATCTTCCTTAACAGATTTCCCAAGAAGAAGCTACTTAGATAATAAATATAAAGTTTTACAAATAGAGATAAAAGAATAATAAGATAATTGTGAAGACCTTCAATATAATTGGTGAAAGCGAATATGGCAGATGCTCAAACTTAGCTTTTGTTATATTAGTTGCAATGCCGAGAAAAGATTTTAATTGAGAAATTTATATATACCATTAAGTTGTATCTTATGCATAATGAGTGTAACGACTTGTATCATTTATGATACAAGTAGCAGTTGTCATAAAAACAATACTTAATTAATCATATACTTAATTAATTAATTTCTATATTTCTCAAGGAATAAACATAATTGAAATGAAAATTGTGATTTATTATTCAAAATTCTCGGCTCCATTCTTAATCATGGCTATTCAGTAATTTTGTTGAGGTTGCATGGCAATTGTAAGCATATTTTCATAATCAGTTGGGTTGGGTTGGCGTTTTCAGTCAATTCGATTAATGCAGATACAACTTTGTTGTTCCCTCTTGAAAGTTCTGGTTTATCTTATACTAATAGTTCAAGAAGAGGTTCACATTTTAAGAAATTTTGGTTATTGGAGAAATTTATAAATATTTTTGCCAAATTCTACTCCTCATAAAGTTGTCTTAGATTGCTTTCCTGTGTTTTTCTTCTCATGCAATGCATATTTCCTCATGTTTTTAACCACTTCTTATATTCCTCTTTTCCAAATAACAAAAACTATTTGATGCAGACATTATTTTCTCAACAAATTAGTGACAGTAGAAGACACCTTGCTAATTTACTATTACTATTTTTTTATTACTCTTTTTTTAGGTTGTTGAATATAAACTCATTTTCTGTTTTGAAATGAAGTTTAAAACAAGCAGAAAGCTAATTCTTAAATGCATTAAATGTCATCTTCTGCAAACTGACATAAAATTAGGGCATAAATTGTACAATTACAATTTCAATCAGACACTTAATTTTATCTGCAAACTGATTTTTAAGCTGAAACCTGAATCTTTATGTGTTTAGATACTTGAATAATCCTTACAACTGGTTTCCAAATCGTTTTCCAGAATAAAATGTACATCTTTTTGCAATCAAATATTATATCTTGCTGCCAACTGGTGTGATTAAACTGGCACATGAATATATGCAATAAGTTTTCTCAACAAACTTAATCCTAGATAAATTTAATCTTTCTGAAAATCGATTTTTAAACTGAAACCTCAATCTTTATCCGTCTTGATGCTTGAGTAATCCTTCTTACTGCTTTTCAAAATGTCAATCGTAAATTGCAATCAAGTACATGAATCAAATAGATTTTAAATCTTTCTATAAACATATTTTGCAACTGAGACATGAATTTTTGTATATTTAGATACTTGAGTAACTCTTCAAATTAGTTTCCAATCCTTCTCTAAATTTTACTTCAACTAATTTTAAGAAGAATTTTAGAAAAATGTAAAAGTAGTCAGAAATGTAAAATTTATTAACCCATTTCATTCCATCCTGACAGGTGCAAAATGTGATTGAAATTGCTTGGTTGGAACAATGTAATCGCAAGTAACATTTTTTGAAGAAATAACACTTCCTTAACAGATTTCCCAAGAAGAAGCTATTTAGATAACAAATATACAGTTTTACAAATGCAATGCCGAGAATAGATTTTAATTGAGAAATTTATATATACCATTAAGTTGTATCTTATGCATAATGAGTGTAACGACTTGTATCATTTATGATACAAGTAGCAGTTGTCATAAAAACAATACTTAATTAATCATATACTTAATTAATTAATTTCTATATTTCTCAAGGAATAAACATAATTGAAATGAAAATTGTGATTTATTATTCAAAATTC